CGGTCCAGCTGAGACGGACTGCGTTAGTTGTACTGCAGTGAGCGGTGTTCATCAGAGGAACGGATGGCCAGCGGGCGCGGCAGGGAACGGGAACAGACGCCGCCGCACGGGCACGGGCGATACACTTGCAGCCCGCAGAACACCACGGCAGGGCACTGTCGCAGTGCGGCAGGTCCGACTGGTCTGGCATACGAAACAATCACTCATGTTGGTGAGATGGCCACTCATACAGACAGCTCACCAGCTATTCAGGCAGTGGTTTGTCACTGATTCGTTCAGGTCACTTCAAGCTTTCCGGGTCACATGCCGAGTCCCATCCGGCCACCTAGAGCAAAGTCAGAGAGAAAACACGCTAAACTCATCTGGAACTGGACGAAAACCAGTGTAGCGGCCGAGCTGATGGTGGTGGACTGTGGCGTAGCCTGTGCCAAGTGAGAATCAAACTAACCGCTAATGAATCAGCGATCAGGTTGATATCCAATAGCACTGCTATGCCATTGTCCTCTATTGGGTGGCCACAGGCGGCTCGTTGGGGCGGCTGATGCGGTCCGTTGCAGGTAGCGCGCATTTCCGCCCCGTTCTGCCTCGCCGGCCCGTGTTGGGCGCAGCGGCACGGAATCTCTGCTCATTACTGCGAGACGTCGACCGCGGCAACAGACGAACCGGCACTGGGTCTGGGCCTGTCCCACAGACCGGCACTGGGTCTGGGCCTGTCCCACAGACCGCCGCTGGGTCTGGTTACGGGCCCTACAGACCGGCACTGGGTCTGGCTACGGGCCTACCCCACAGATCAGCTCCAGCTAGGTGCTGTCTGGTAGAGCGTGCAACAATGGATGTCGTCACCGCCCAGGTGCGCCGTCTCGGAACGCTGAGCAAACCCACTGCACCGCTCTGAAATCGCGCCCACGCAGTTCAAACCAAGGTCAGTGATATTTCGAGCAAAAAACAGCGCGACGTAGCGGTGTCAACGCACCGCGTAACCTCAGCACGGATATCAGAGCTCGCCTATGTGATAAGGACAGAGATGAGCACAGCGCACCCAACTTCTGCACTAAGTTCCAGCTGCCTCAGAACTTTCTGGGGCCGCTCCGCCAAGTAATTCCCCGACCTCGGACCATTTTCGCAGAAGCGGCGATGGCTAAATCCTCTCAGCGTTCAGGCAGTGTGTACCCCATCAGAGCCATTATCTGGGCTGCTCAGAATCCTCGGCAGAACGGCGCCATATATTCAGCCCCGACAGCCCACTGACGCCATTTCGCGGCCGATCCGAACTCGGCCCGGTATCGCTCCTACCATAAATTCCGACAATCCCCGCCGCCGACGCCGGGCGATCATCCCCGCATTGGCACGGGCCGCAAGACGTATTTGGGCCGTGATAACGACCTATCTGTGGCTGAGTATGTGAGCAAACAGGCGAGGCAGGTAGTGCTGCGCAGCCCTTATTCGGTGAGATACCATGATATAGTCTCTTATTTTGGAGGTGCCATCGGATGGTTCTTAGGTTAATCATTTCACGTGAGCTTCTTGGGATTGACCGTCAGGCGTTGGGTGATTCATGGTCACGGCCAGAGGCCTGCCTTTCAAAAGAAACTGTCTCAAAGAGACAAAACGCACAGAGGATTGCCTAGTAGGGTACGGTGTAATCCATGCACTGGCATGTCGCTGTATCAAAACCTTTAGCTCATCTCGTCACCAATTCCGTTCAGCCGGTGCCCGTTTGGTTCCATTTGCCGCCCCCTCAGCCGGTATCCGTTTAGCACCATTAGCCGATCTCCACTTAGTACCAGCAGCCACCCGCTCACAGGAGCTCCGTCTAGCGCCATCAGCCACCGGTTCCCAGCGCTGCGGCCGCGTCCGATTGACATGCCGCGCCGCCGCTGCATTCCGGGACGGTCTGACGCGGCCACCGCCGGCAGACAGGGCCCGGGAGTCGACAATATGCCTCCGCTGAGAGTTCACCGGGGAGGGACAGCCGCACCGCCCAGCCGCGCCACTGCAGTCAACGATAGTCTATCGGCGGCTCGGCGCCGTCTGTTTGTCAGACACTTGGACAGGGATACGAGACGTTAGGGCGTGCTTACATCAGCAATGTCCGGCGTTCTGATCACATAGAGCGACGGGCTGAAGTTTATCACGACATGGACAGCGGTAGACAATACAGCACAATGGTGTGCCAATCGAATACATCCAACCGATTCTTCCTTGCACCTGGGCATTCCAACCAATACGGAAAGAAGACAGAAAAGACTGGCCGACATTGCGTTCCACAATCATTAACCACTTCTCCGAATAGCGAACGCTACCAAGCCAAATCCACACCGCTTTCCATCAACCATAGACCTCTGTATACAGAGGTCTATGCATCAATCAAATTTCTTTTCTTCATGCCCTAACCCCGCATTTTGCTTGCAACTCGCTCCGGCCTCTCTGACGTCACCCATCTCCCCCGACCTCACACAATCTCCATCACAGGCGCACAATGACCGCTGTGTAGCCGTGTCGAGCGGGGTACCCGGCCGGCAAACCGCGTCTCGCGCGCGGCCGCGCACCGGACGCACCACAGTTCGTCATGAGAGCCGCCATCCGGCGTCCCGGCGGAGGTGGCGAACATCAGTGCCGCCAGACGGGTCGTCAGCACCAGTTAGCCGCCGGTTCCGGCCGTACAGCGGTCACAGACAGGAAGCCCCAGCCGCCTCATGGGCACTCAGAGCCCGGATTAGAGAGAGGAGCTTACTGAAGGTCGCCACGAGTGAGCGACATGAACCGACCGCAATCCACTCAGTTTATCGCCGCATTGCAGCTCACTTTCATAACGTACTTTTACCTGAGCGCGGTCCATTCCAGGACATTCCAGTTCCATTGAAGCGGCGGCGGCGACGACTCATCGTTTCAGTCACGCCTGGTTGGATTCCTGGGAGTGGAATCAGTGGCGCGCCGGCCGCCCGGGCGGCCCGCTACCTCCGTATTTGGCGCGGGTCCGGCCCGGCGCGCCCGTCCAAGCCGTGGCGTGACCGAGACAGGGCTGACAGCCGCACGCAACAGGAAAATGCATGGATAATGAACGTGTAGCCAAAGCAAATGTCCATCACTCGGGCCTGAAAGCATGGCCTGATGCTGTGGCCATTGTTCGTTGGCAGGGGACAAAAATCGCGCGCGATATGCGAAAAGCACCGGTACATTGTCCGTAAAAAGGCCGACGGTATAGAAGGAGTGACACAGGCCGCCGGGGGCAACTGCCAGGAAAAGACGGCCATAGCGGCCAGGACAATACAGGGCGAAACAGATTAACACGCTGCACACTGCCTGCCCTTTTTCCTAGCACTGGAGGCATAACGTTCGCTGTATCTGCTCATGTTGCCTTGGTCATCACTATCAGTGCCAGTCGTACCGTTAGTAATGCATGACTCAGCTTATTAGTGCTTACGCAGTTGATGTGCGTGTGCAAGTAATTCAATATACGAGAAGTGTAGGCAAATAAATACATACACATGAGTAAAGTTGCATTTCAAGCCGCGGCGGCTATGTGCCTAATACCGATGCAGGTACTCACGTATGAATGCGGCGGCGGCCAGGACGCAGCCGACTGCCACGGCGCTAATTTCCGCCGTGCTGAGCTGACGCTGCTGGTCGGGTGCTGAGCCGCGCGCCTCCCGCCGCACCGTCTCGGCAGCCAGGGTGCTGCCGGAGGGCGCCCGTACCCCGGGGACCGGCCGGCTGGGCCCGCCGCTGCCCGACCACTCGGGGTCCGACCCAGAGGACCCCGAGTCGGGTACAGAGGCGGCCGGCAGGGCGGCGCCCGCCACCACCGCCGCCAGGCTGGCGTCCGGGCCATCGTCACCGTCACCGTCACCGTCGGCGTCACTGCCGTCGCCGGTGTTGGTCTGGTCTCCGTTGGACCCTGCGCCGGCCGGCTGTGAACTGCCAGTGTCCGGCGCTGACCCAGAGGCGACCCCAGCCTCGGGGTCGGACGGAGCCGGACGGCCCGGCGCCGGGTCCACTGCGACTGGCTCTGCGACTGGTTCTGCCACAGGCTCTTCAACAGGCTCCTCAACATGTTCAGCGACAGGCTCAGCCACTGGTTCAGGCACTGGTTCCGCCCCTGCTTCTGCGGCCGGTTCTTCTACAGGCACTGTCGCCGTTTCATCATGTTCCTCGTCCAGAGGCATCAGCGGCAGTGTGGCTGGGGTGGCCGCGTCGCTCTCCTCGGCAGACCCGCTGCCCTCGACATCGCCAGCGTCCGTCCGCTGCTCTCCCTCCGCTCTCTGCTCCTCCTCCCTCCTCCCCACCTCCTCCTCCTCCTCCTCGCTCTCCTGTCCTCCGCGCTCCCTGCCCTCCTTCACGGCCGAGGCGACCGCCTTTTCGAGCAGCTCCTCCTGGACGGCGCGCACGTTCGAGCGCCGCGCCATGATCTGCTCCTCCTCCTCCTCCTCCTGACTGTCGTCAGCGGTGACGCGCCGCTCGGGCAGCTCGGCCGTCAGCGCCGCGCTGCTCACCGCCACCAGCAGCCGCTGGCCGCCGGGCTGGGGCTGGGGCCAGCGCTGGTGCGGCGCCACCAGCCGCCGGAACTGCAGCAGGTCGGCAGGTCGCAGCACGGCCACCCGCCGGCCGTCCCGGGAGCGCACGTAGCCGTCCGACGGCGCCGCCGGCCTGGGGGCGAAAGGGCGACAGCGGTCAGATGGGGAAAGGTTGACACGGGGCGGAGCAATACGAAGTGGCGGAGGAGAGTAACATCTACTTCGGGACCATCTATGGAACCCTTCCCTTGGTAGTTTCCCAGTTCGCAGTCTGTTGTCGATCGTTCAGAAACTGGCAGTCGATCGTTTGAGGTCATAAGTTTACACTAACGAAACCCTTCGAACCAAACAGTTGGGTCGACCAAGCCCATACCCTCCACTGCCGACCGGCAAACGAGCTCCAGCCCCTGCATTGTTAGCGCTGGCAATATGGCTCCCCTGGGGCAGCAGGTCTGCAAAACCCACCCGAACTTCAATATTTATCCGGTGTAATTTCACATTCTGTTGCCGTTTGCTATCGCGTTCCCGGAGCCTATGTGGGCGGGAAATGCGCAGTTCCTGTGCACACCAGTCAATGCTGCCCCCTGTCGGATGGCGTCCCCGAAGGAACGACCACTGGGGATGGGGAGGAAGACGGTATTTCCGTCGTTTGTTGTCCCTGCAGGAGTCCACGAGGCTCCCGGGAAGGGGAGACAACGGGGCACTAGTGGGAACCATGAACCGTTATCTGTCGGAGCTGTGAATGGGGCGGCGCAGTACCGGGTAGGACAGCAGGGGGAACCATGGGTCCGGCCGAGGGTCACAGTATAGGTATATGGAGGGTCGATGCATGCTGCAATCGGCAGAAGCTTGGAAACGTGAACTTAGGCAGACATGCTGATCTTCCACTGATATAGGCACTTTGTTATCTCATCATGTGTGCAGAAACATGACATCTATGGTATGGCAGGCATCTATCGCTGTCAAGTCCAGGAATCTTAAATGATTGGACCGGCGAAAAGACCGCTGACGTGAATTGAAAGACGACAGATAGACGTCTATCCATCATCGGCTGGGCCAAATCAACGTCGACACTCTAACGGCCGCGGAATTTAATTCAAACGGACCCGGTAATTGACCGCAATCATTACACGCTCCGAGTCCATACTCACGGTAAACCCACTCCCAGGCTACTGAGTCCAGCGTACCAGCGTATCTGCGTATGAAGCCAGTACGCACAACGCTGAGACAGCCCCATGGGCTGTCTTAGCACTAAGCGGAAGTGAGCAGTTCCGGTGCCGGCTGCTCTGGACAGAGAACAGACACCTCTCTGTGCACATTTGTTATGGCCTTGCCGGTCTCCCAGCGCTCCGTGCTGCATCTCTGGCGCAGTCCTGCAGCCCACAGGCATCAGCTCCGCATCTCCGCCCGCGTCACCGGCGCGGACAGCCGGGGGCACATCCTGCGGATCCCGTCGGCACACGCACGGCACAGACGCCCATTGTGAGCCGGTGAGGCGGGAGCGGCCAAATAGCCGGCGGCGGATAAAGGCGCCGTGTGCCAGCCGACCCAAAGTGCCGCCTCCCAGATCTGGCGATGGGCCTCGAGATGGCCATTAGCGACGTGCTCGGAAAATTCTCGCCTCGTCGGCCGACGAACGCAGAGCGGAGGCCATCTCGGCGGCGTGCTCATCTTGTGGGACGGTGGAAGAGCGGAAGGCCGTAGGCAGATAGAAAATGCATGAATAGGGACGGCACAGTGCGGCGCTGAACACGCGCTCTATGGTGATAACTTCTGAATATTTCAGGACAGGCTCCGAGTGCTTCAGTGTAAATAGTAGCATTACACACACTGCGTTGAATTTTGTAAGTTCATTCGCTATGAGCGAGGTGCGTAGGCATGTGACAAAGTGCAACCCCTCAGTCGAACAGCCGGCCGTATGATGTCACCTCCAGATAGGTTTTCATTCCAGTCAGCATCCGCACACTTCACTGGTTTTCCCAGTTCTCCCACTTCTGAGACGCTGACGGCAGCACAGCCTCCCTGGCCCCTCCACTACAGCCCTTCCACACCTCGCGCCCCTGCCAGACACCAATGTAAACTTGGGCACGGCCGACCCCGCTGCCGATCACCCCCTCCCCGCCCCTCCCTGTGACCTCCTGACCCGCCGGCGGGGGGTGTTTACGGCTCCGCGGGAGGACACAGGTGCCGACTGAGCTCCCATCCGGCGCCTCGGGGTGTGGCTGACAGCCGGCGGTCACAGAGCGCTCAGCAGGGCGCCGCGGGGACAGACCCGAGATCTCCAGACGGGCACGGGCGCAGAGACCCACTGTGGCACGATCCGGAGAGAAACGAGACGATCTGGCGGCGCACCCCCGGCGGGTCAGGTGTCGGCCGGATGCCGGGAGTGGCGCAAAGGTGTGTCTGAGGTCAGACAGATGGTCCGGGTGGCAGCCTGAGAGGCGGACTAGTAGTGTGAAAGTGGCTGAGTGTTTACATTGAAGTATTTAGACTGCATGGATATAGGGGAAGGTGGGGTAAGACGGACCAGCTAAGATTTGAGGCCGCATATCTTGCTACACTGCTCTCGTAATTCATATTATCTATAGTCTTCGGAATGCTCAATCCTTCCTCTGTTGATACGTGTAAAGACTAAATTTCAAATTAAAGACATCTAGGTGGTGGATGCTCTTAAAGAGGGACATGTCAAAAACTCAGACAAGAAAAAACGTGGGGTAAGACGGACCACCCAGCAGTGCCTGCTATCCGTTCATGTGTGTTACACTTCTGCTCTGTACTCTTGTAAGAAAATGTAACCAGAATGGTAAAATAACAAAATGAGCCTTTATTCTTTACTCATGTGTGATGGAAGTGCAGCTAAAAGCTGGGAACATGTGTATTGATTGTCGTTTGGCATGAATGCATGCTAACTGAGCACTTGCATGCATGGCTCACATGCAACAAAGACTCCTTCCTGAAAAATTAGCTTACTTAAACTTGTGTCAATGTTTTGGAAAAGAACTTTCCATATGCAGGGTACAATGGACCACTACAGGGTAAGATGGACCACAGTGGTCCGTCTTGCCCCAAATCTAAATTCTGTCATTATCATGACGTATATGTCAAATAGCCCAACATTGCAAAACCTTCCCTTTCCTAAAGTGTGACTATAACTAAGTTTATAACTTTGTTCTTCACAGTTAAGTGCAAAATAAAAACTAATCATGCAAGAAAGGCGCCGTAATTGAATCACCCGTAGACCTCTTATATTAGATCGGTTTGACGAAAAACAACATTTTTCTCAATAACTCAAAAGCTATGCATCCTAGCAGCATGAGCTCAATGTGGCCATTGTAGCGAAGGAAAACAAACATAGTGAGTGCATAAAGCAGTAGATACCAGCAGCGGTTCAGCCGGGAGGGCTGGTGGTCCGTCTTGCCCCGCTGGGCCGTCTTACCCCACCTTCCCCTAAGATATGGGGCATGGCCTTTTCAACCAATTCTGGTGCTATCAGACAGCTGTTTGTTTTGTTTAGTTAGGAAGTGAGCAAATTGGCGTGCAAAAGACAGACAGCTGTTCCATATATTGAGATTGTCCTTTCAACACATAATTAGCTAAGTCAAAGACCAACTACTATTGACGCAGGTGGTGTCACCGCTTAGCTGAAAATGCTCAACGGCAACAAGTAAGACCTAAAAGCGCGGGTCCTATGTGCGGGCGTGTCAGGTGTGTCGGCTGCCATGTGTCTTTTGTGCCGGTTTTGTCCGGTATCTGGTGTGTCAGATGTGTCGGTTTTGTCCGGTATCACGTGTCGGGCAGGTGTCATAGCGCGGCGCGCACACCGGTCCGGCGGCGGCCGCTGCAGTGACACCGTCCCAGCACGCGGCCGGGCCGTGACTGCGCGCTCGGATTTCCTCCAGAGGACGCGGACGGACACGGCGCCCGAGCCATAGCGTGACAGGGAAAGGTCAGACAGCGGTTACAAGGCGGACGGCCGGGTCAGAAACGGGCGAAACCAGTTAGCAGAAGGCCGCCGACTCGAGCCCAAGTTCTGTAACAAGTCGCACGGCCCCGTTTAAGTATTCTGACAGGCGCTGAAAGTAGACTGAAATGTTCATGTGCTGCTCGTTACCAGAAACAGGGTGTCTTAAGCCAATCTTTGACACTGAATAAAACAGCATTACAGTGAAGTTAGAAGCATGCAGACAGCCTAGCCTTTGCAAGGTCGCAGGTCGTGTGAGGCGCCTCTATTGTTCAGGGAAGTATTCAGATTCGGAAAGAATGTTCCACTTTCAGCAACGATATTCATTCTGATTTCACTTCAGAACACAACAGTGCCCGTGATTAGGCCATCACCGAAATAAAGGAATTCACTCATTAGTAAATAAAAACGAGACACGAAAGGAACAAACAGGTTGCCCAAAGCGAAAACACCTTTGCGAACTTCTTCGGAGTGTTAATGCGTTGAAACAAGGACAACCATGCGGCTTTTCAGAATTTCTCTCTTCTCGCCGACACACCTTCCGAGAAAGATCATATCATCTCAGACGATGGCTCGGAGGGTGTTATTTCCATACCGGAGTAGGACAATCGACTGCTTTGATTAATTCGCAAAGGTGTGGCATCACCACATCAAGGCCGAAGGTAGCGGTGACCACAGCACCATCGGGTGCGAGGGTGAGGCGTGGTGAGAGGGAATCCTCCAACAGCGGAGAAATAAAATCCACAGAGAGCGGAGCACAAGCGACAGAATTAACCGCACATGCTGTGATTGTGGATTTGTCGTCACCAAAAAGTGGCAGGCCACACATCGAGCATTAACGGGACGTTGAATCGTGATTAGCGGGCCGAGGTGACACGACGCGACACCGAGCCAGTGGGGTCCAGGGAAGGGGCGTAGGGGGAGGGGAGGGGGGGGGGCGATAACGAGAAGGGTGGAGAAGAACAAACAGGCCGGCGGCGGCCCCGCCGTGGCCGGCCGATAACACGCGCAGTGTGAGCCGAGCCGCGGTGCACAAGGGGTGCGCGGAGTGTTTGCCCACCCACCATCCCCATCAACACCGTCCTGTCCTTTGTTCCCAAACGACCTTCGTCGTCCACCCGGGTTTGACGAAGCGGTGGCTCGCACAGAGCTGGAGGCGAAGATAAACCCGGGTGTTGACGGCCTTTCACAGCCAAACGGGGAGGGGAGTTGATCGGAGGACACGCGAAGTAGCATCACTGTCGCCGATGCGATAGACAATGACATGTTCCGTACTACATGAGCTGTTGAGCGATTTACAGCACAATCCATAATTCCAAGCAGCTATGCCTGTATTTCAGTCTCTCGTTACCTATGAGAAAAAGGTTTCATGCTATCCACGAGCCAGTGGTAAACGTTTCACCTCTGATACAGCGTGACACACATCACACCTAGCGTCACAAAAATGCAGTGGCGACTGTGTGTCGGAAAGTGGGCGGCATTAACTGTACCGGGGCTGATCTCGCTGTAAAGACCAACGGCAGCAGGCCGTTACAAATAACACAGACACAAGCAGTTACGGGTGAGCGCGCTCCAGAATTAAATGGTGTCTGGGATACTGCCGCCATGGATTGCTGGGCACTGGGGGAGATTATAGCAGTAAAACGGAAATGAAACGCCTACCAGAGACCGGATAAAAGACATCGACCGACAAATTAGGGGATTAACTTTATGCGAGTCTGTCAAGTATGCACGTGCGCTCTGGTTCGTTCAATGTTGTTATATAAAATGAAAACTTCTAACAATGTAATTGGTTCTTTTTCTCGTGTCCCTTTCCAAGTGTCGGTATTTCATCAGTACACTCGGGCCATTTGCAGTCCAATTCATCCCGCCGAATCTTCCTACCTGCCTGTTACGCCCCACCACTCTCCTATCTCATGCAGTCTTACCGCGGTGGTCCTGGTGGCGGGGCTGCCGGCGCGGGGGCCGGCCCGGTCCCCTCCACCGGGCGCAGGGAGTCATCAGCGGACGGCACGAGCTCCCTGGGCGCCGCGGCCGTCAGGGAGGTCAGCGTCAGCGTCAGCAGCGCCAGCAACAGCGGCAGCGAGGTCCGACCATGGTCTGAAATGGTACGCGGCCTCGGTCAGTTCAGGGGCCAGTACGGCAGGGGTGGACCGACCAGGGTGGAGCAATGGTTACCAGGGGCACGGACGATAGGCGCCCACCGCCAGCCCACCCGGCGACGTCAGTCAACACGCATATCACTCAGCAGAACGGTCCCTCAATACACACATCAATCAGCGTATACGTCAGTCGCCGCCTCATCATATACCCCAGCCGCGCATCACTTGCTAGTCGGTAACACACATCGCTCACCGCTCGCCGCTAATATAAGCTGCTAGAACCCACACACGACACCGTATCGCTCACCGGCGACCATTGCAGCGTGTTACGTAAGCAAAGGTGCGTAATTGATAACGTGCTGGAGCTATAAACCGTCTACCAGGGCCAAAAAGGTGGCAGGATAAAAAGCTGAAGCTCAGTCTTGAAACGGGATTTCGTATAGAAAATAACCGAAAAGCACCAAGAAGCACTGGAGATCGAAATGAAACGATTCAGCGGAACAATGCACAGTAAAGGCCAAGCCACGAGTGAAGAAACTGAAACAATAACACCGCTAAATGCAAACCTTCACCAACACACAGCCCTTGCGCTACCGTGCGCCAGGGAGGCGCCCCGGAGTGTCACCTACGCGGCGTGCGCCACTCACGTCGCACGTGCGCCATTAGTGCTGTCACTGGTGCCACTGGCTGCGGCGGGTCGGCCGCAGAGGCTTCCCCCGAGGTCGGTCAGGTCAGCCGTGTCAATACCTAGGGCTTCCGTGTCGTGTGAGCGGTGTGCTCACGACATCCGCTGACCCCGCGCCCCGCCCGCGGTCACAGAAGGACGGCACACGCACCCCGACCGACAGAATAGTGGATAGGTAGGTACTGCGATAAGTAATGGCACTCGGACCCCCGGAACCATGTCACAGGACACCGCAAAGAGCGGCCAGCCGGCTGTGATCGCCAAGCCGGCGATCAAAAGACAGAACTCGGACTGCGGTGTCTACAGGCCAGTGGCAGCGCGAATCAGTGCTGGCCTTCGCTAACGAGAGTTTGGCATTTCATCCTGTCGACTAACAGAGATAATCCGTGCCGACAGCCGGATATAGCCCATCAAACGCCGATTGAAGTCACGCCTCTATGCGATGCCAATTGGTGCTGGTTGGGTACAGTCGGTTGTATGGTGGCGTAAAGATAGAATATGACGCGCGGTTCGTGCCAAACAGGGCCCATGAAAGACACTAACGCCTGTGTGATTGATGCAACTCAGAATAGCCGATGGCGGGCGGAGCTTGAGCCGACCCCAGGAATAGACGATACGTGACCTGAGCCAAATTGGGTTACGTGAGGTCCGGTGAAGTCGGAGGCGGTGGGTACTACCCTGGAGGAGGTGTGCCGTGCGGCAGACCTGCACTGTGTCCGGTCGGGGCCACAGTTCAGGGTCTGGACCGGTCTGTCTGACCTCTCCCCCGGAGCTGGGCGTGTCAGACCGCCGTCTGGTCGGGTCGCCGCCCCAGTCTGGATCGTTGTCTGGACCGACCGGGGGGCTCTGCCGGGCCGACAGTTTGCCATCGATCGCGACGGGCGGTCGTCGGCAGCGGCGGCGGCTGTGGCGCAGGTCCGCGCCGGCCGACCGGCCGGCCGACGCCCCGAAATAGCCGTCGACCGACCGACCGAGCGGCTCTCCGTGCCGCCCGGGCGGCGGCGCCGTCCGTCCATCAGCCGGCCAGGTCATGACCCGGCGTCCTCAGCTGAGGTGCAGTCCGCGGGGAACAGGCACACACTACGGGCGAGCTCGTCCCGGCACTGCTGGTCCCTCGGAGACAGGCCGTCCAACGGGTATGTGGAGGGGAGAAGAAAGGAAACGGACACGACAGGCACTTTGTAGAGGCGAAAGGTCAGCGGCGGCTGCGAACGAATGGGTTTTTAATTTCCACAAAAAGTGGACAAACTGGTCTCCGTAAGGGAAGGGGCGTGATCAAGGCCATTCGTGGATGGAGCTGAACAAAACTTGAGGTAGAGAGGAAGAGAGATAGAGAGGTAGAGAGGTAGAGAGAGAGAGAGAGAGAGAGAGAGAGAGAGAGAGAGAGAGAGAGAGAGAGAGAGAGAGAGAGAGAGAGAGAGAGAGAGAGAGAGAGAGAGAGAGAGAGAGAGAGAGAGAGAGAGAGAGAGAGAGACCATCTACAGGCCACAGTCCGATGATAGTTTGGCGAACCATTACTGTTCCGTTCCAACTTTCTGTCCTAATGCTGTCACTTAGAGCTTTTTATTGGCCGTTTCCACATAAATGTGGGATAAATGGGTGCCTTTCAGCAAACTAAAAACTAAGAAAAAGGCTACGTTTCGTGCTTTCTTGCTGTGAATACCAATCCCTTGTTCCCCTGTTTCATATCATAAAAGAAAGGCAAACTGATTCTATCAGCAGTAGGGCACTGAGCCTCTCAAAAGCAATTGGAACTTCCCTGGATTTTTTTTTCTAAGATAGTCCGTTACCCATGATCAGGTAACCAGGAGTGCCCCCTCCCACAGTCCCGGCGACGCACAGAGACCTTACTTTAACACCAGGTAACATAATAACATAACGGATGGTAACATAATGGATGCCATACGTTTGTTACCTACATAGGTGCGGCAGATACAATAAAAATAACACATTAAAGTGAGTCAATAACTACACAATATAAATGACTTTTTCAGGTAATGGAGTGTTTACTTACATATTACAGCCTAATATCAAAATATTTAATTTCAAAATGCGATTGGTGGCGCAAATTAGGGTACACACAGTGAACTGTGACTAACATACCACATATATCAGCCATATCAGGGCTTATGGTGATCCCCTGCGCGGATCCGGAATTCAGGGTTATCTCTGACTCAGGACAAACTTCTGAGTGACGTCAACTGCTATCATGAGGAGACGTCGCGCATTAATTTTAAAGCATGGCAAAGATTGCCTATCCATAGATTGTTATATATCACAAAAGCACTCGATAATCGTTCGTCGACGCAATGAACCTGTCGTGAGAGATTAAGTAAATGGCGATCTGCGCATTTGAGGCCCGAAGTCCCTCACCTGTATAACATATTTGGATAAAGTGACCCAAAGGTCAACGATGCACTGTTGGCCGCTGGGCAAAAAGACTTCCCCTATTAATCACATTTTTAGAATGGCATTGCAAATAATATCCAATGTTTACGAATCTCCTATCAAAATGTAGTTTATTTACACCTGATCTCGCCGCAGTGGGTTTCGATAGGCGAACATACCGTGTTGGTCAGGAACGGTGGCCAGAGTCCGGGACATGTCTCATTTCAGGGCAGCCCGGCCGGTTGGTGGCCCACGCCCTGTAACAGAGAACACGGCACATGTCAGACTTAGGTCAGACACAGCACAGGCACAGGTCGCCACGGTGCAGAGCTAACGGAGAACATGGCACAGGTCAGACTCATGACGGTATCGAGCGCACATAACTGGTGATACACACAACTAGAGGTGGCAAAATGTGGACCCGAGGACCCGGTCCAAAGAACCAGTCTGGACCCATATGGGTCCAGATTGGTTCCTGGAAATTTTCTGACGAGTCCAACCGGGTCCTACCAAAAACTGTACAACTTGCACACTACACATTATTGCAAAATATGAAGTCAATGAAGTGAATGTTTCTTGGCACACAGTAGCTCATGAGTATTCCCAGTGAGAAATAGGCTGCTTTACATGATGCAACTAATGATACCTACAAATAGTTTGTATTAATCGACTTTTGGGGAGCCGGGTCCATTTGGGTCCGATTCCAACTAAGGCCGGGTCCGACTGGTTCCAGAAATGTCCAGCCGGGTCTGGTTCGAGTCTGGTTCCCAAAATTTTTATCTTTTGCCACCTCTACACACAACACACTAGAAAATGTCAGACTTGAACGGTCTTGTGCACAGAACAAACGGAGCACATCGTAATCGTTTTAGACCAGTGGCGTACCCAGGAATTTGCGAAGGACCAGGGCATCGACTGGAGGGGCGCCAACACTGGACAGAGGGGCGCCACCCACCATCATCTAGGAGCGCGACGCTATCGATTGGAGGGGCGCCAATACTGGACAAAGGGGCGCCACCGGCAGGCACGTACCCAGGATTTCGCCCAGGAGGGGGCCACCTGCTTTCGAAGGGGCCCCCACAGTGTATAGGGCCCCCGGGTTCCCCGGGGGCCCCCGGGAGTCATGAAGAACCTTTCGATGGTGGGGGGGGGGGGGCATAGTGGATCTGGTCTCTCCTGCAGACGTAGGTGAGAAAACGCCACGTGTGTGGGAAAACGCAATTCAGTTCTTTACAACCTAATGCAGCATTTGGTTGTGATTTCTCGCGTTCAACTTCATCAAAGTCAATTAAAACGGTCTCTGTAACGGTCTAAGCCTTGAGAAAATGTGGAAAATTGGAAAGTAAAAATATTTTTGCTTGAGGAGTGTGCATGAAACGCACGGCATTTTATGAGCGAGCGCCTCAATTACTGAACATCCTCCAATTCCGGATATGTAGGTATATAATATAATAGTGGGGAATAAATGTCTCGTTATCGGAATTCCACTATCTGGCAACTAGCCCTATGTAAACGCGGCTATTATATGTTTCACTAGCCCGCGCCCGGCTGGGGGTCCTGGATTTCCACGCCCTGCTGCCCCCCCCCCTTGCAACTCGGCTCCTGGGCCACGTAGCGATACGCGGAAGGCGGCGTTCGAAAGAGCGTAAAAAATAATGACGAAATCACTTCGGTCAATTTTTTGGTCAGGTCAAAGATGAGGTCACCAGAGGTCATTGAAGGCAAAATTTCGCCGATTTCCAGGTCGAATGTCGAAAATTTCCAAGAAGCCAACGCATAACTCGGGAACCAATAGAGCTACAGCGCCGCGGAAAAGTGCATTCGATAGCCCTATTAACACCCTTTCTGAGTAATTCTATCAGATTTGACCTAACGTCAACGGTTTTGCCTGCAGGGGGCAAAAACTGCAAAAATAGCCGATTTTTTTCGGAAACAGTTTTTCTGCAATAACTTTTGACCCAAGCCTTGTACGAGCTTACTTTCACCGGCATCGTGTTCCTCTCGTCAAGACGCATCGAATGAACTATAACTTGACCTTGAAAGGTCAACTTGAAAATTTGACCTCAGGTCAAGGTCATGACCTGACCGGAAAGGGTCATGTTGCATATCAGTCGATCCGTATCGTCGAGCTGAACACATATAACGCGTTTTCATCGCTCTAGCATGCCTCTATCAAAAGTTATTTGCGAAAAACTGTTAAATACCATTCGTGACCTAAGATGACCTCAAGGCACAAACAAGGGTCACGGACACCATTCTCATGTTCAGTGTGTCTAAACCACTTGTAATTCGGTGTTTGGGAGTGTTTATAATGTCCTTCGTCCAAAAGAGGCGCATTTCAATTTTCTCCCAGACTTATAATGGGGAGGTCGCAAAGTTGACCTGGCCTTAGGTCATCAATATCAAAATTCTGAGATATACATTTTGTACATGCTATTGCTCCTAGCAATCGCTGAAAGTTTCAAAGCGATCGGTCACTCGGTGTAGCTATGACAGACATTGAAACTTTTTATGAGGTGAGGTCACTTCAAGTGACCTGGTGACCTGACCTTGAATGACCTTGGTCTGAAATTTTCACAACATGTGTATAATTGATGTATGATAAGGTGTACCAAAAACGGCTCCTTCAGATGAGTGCCTACTCCAGTCACTACTTATATCCAGTAGCCAGTAGCCACTCAGATGATTTGGGATCAATCAGGTGATAAGCGTACTTTCAGACGACCAGGGGCCCCCAGTCGACCAGGGGTTCCCAGGCGACCAGGTCCTCCAGATGACTAGGGGCCCCACTGCCCCAGGCGACCAGGGCCCTCCAGGCGACCAAGGGCCAATGCGATCAGGTCCCCAAAGCGATCAGGGGCCCCCAGGCGACCAGGGGGCCCCATGCGACCAGGGGGCCCCATGCGACCAGGCCCCCGGCTACCAGGGGCCCCCAGGCGACCAGGGGCCCTTTAGGTGACCAGCGGCCCTCAGGCGATCAGGGGCCCCCAGGCGACCAGGGGATCCCAGGCTACCAGGGGCCCAAGGCGACCAGGGTCCCCCAGGCGACTAGGGGCGACCGGGGGCCCCAGGCAACCAGGGTCCCCATGCGGCCAGGCCCCCCGGCTACCAGGGGCCCCCTGGGCGACTAGGTACCCCCAGGCGATCAGGGGCCTCAATATCATGCAACCAGAGGCCCCCCATGCGACTAGGGCCCCCTAGGCGACTAGGGGCCACAGACTATCAGGGGCCCATACGACCAGGCCCCGGGCTATCAGGCCCCCTAGGCAACTAGGGGCCCCAGTCGATCAGGGGCCTCATGCGACCAGAGGCCCCCCATGCGACCAGGGCCCCCTAGGCGACTAGGGGCCACGCCGCCACAGGCTATCAGGGGCCCCATGAGACCAGGCCCCCGGCTACCAGAGGCCCCCTAGGCGACCAGGGGCCCAGGAAACTGGGGGCCCTTGGATGACTGCAGGGGCCCCTCGGGTACCCAGGGCACATAAATGAAACTTTAATATCAATTTTTCTTCCGAGTAAAAGACATTTTATCCAGTGTTTAAAAAAATATCCTGGGGCCTGAGGGGCCCCCTGAGCGCCCCCCTTGGGTACGTCACTGGCCACCGGCCCACCATATCGTCTAGGAGGGCGCCACTATCACCAGAGGAGCGCCAATACTGGACAGAGGGGCTTCGCCATCAACTAGAAGCGCGCCGCTATCGACTGGAGGAGCGCCAACACTGGACAGAGGGGCGCCAGTCACTGAGGGCGCCGGGGACGATGAGCCAAAGGGACAGGGCATGCACGGAATGTCCTGTATGTGCGTACGCCACTGTTTTAGACCAAGGATGTTACCAGAACTCCGCACGAGACACAAAACTGCACTAGACACATGCAAGTGACAGAGACCGACATCAAAAACTCACTCAATACACTCCAGCAAGCATTCCGTGATCAAAGCACAAATCAGATCAAAGCGCGTATGCCCTCGGCAGTAATAACTTCAACACTGAGCCCTCTCAGTCCGTTGCCATCGCTGCGATTTCCTTCAATATTGAAAATTCACAAATATAATGGATATCACGTCCTTCCGCCAACGTCACGGTGCAGGCGGTCCGGACAGGTTGAGGTGAGCCGAACCGAGAACAATGGACGAGCCGATCGATGTTTATAGGAGTGCACAACACACGGCACCGTCCAGCAGGGTACGGCACGGCGCAGTACAGCACGGCACGAACAGTACGTCCCCCAGCCATTCTGGAGCGTTCGTCAGGGGCAGACGGCCCCAATTCACCAGCCAGCAGCGGCAGGAAGCATGCAAGGCGGCCCACCGCGCACCGCTGCCCCCGGCGAGGTCACGGCGCCAGCCACCCGGCTAATCCCGATTCAGCGGGGCTCGGCTAATCACACAGCCCCTTACCTCACGCTCATATTTCCGCCACACGGAGCGTAAGGTGGAGGGACACCCAGGGGAGGGGGCTGCAGGCACGTGTCCCCGCAGACCCACCGGAGCCAAGGACACGGGTCTACACTCCCCAGAGCGGCCCGCGCCGGCGCTACCTGGTAATTCAGAGGAGCGCCGCCGCTGGAGCTCAGCCGGCAGAGAGCCTTTTACGAGCGCGCCAGAGTGCAGACATGCCTGTGGCCCGATAATGCGGCACTTTGGGCGGTAATGGACGCATTCCTGCATGGTGAGGAACCCGGAGGGACACACGTGGCTGGCAGAGCCGCCATTACCGTGAAATCACCAGCCTGAGAGCGAGGATGGTGCAGACTTCACTATCCGTCCACCTGGTGCTGTTTTACAGTTCCATCAAACCGAGAGCTGGCTCACAGACCACGGCGTAAGCTGGAACAACAGCCTTGGCTTAACTAAAGACAGGGCACCGCCTTATCAGCATCCATTTGTTTGTGTGCCATCCATATGTTTATATTTCCGATCATACACACAGCCCCCGCCCGGGCTGCAGCGCGGACCGAGCCGCCCCACTCCGGCTGGTCCCGCCGACCTGTGGCGGCCACGTGGGCGTCAGCCGGCGCTAGGCCAGGGGCCTCCGTCCGCCCCATGGCCCGCCGCATTGCGACACCGCACCCGGGCCGGCCGGCCGGCCGGGGCATTCGGTCGAAATATGCTGATCAGTGAGCCGGGCCCGGCGCGGCGCGGCGAGGCCGTCCGGTCGGACGGGGCGGGGCTGTCGCCGGGTCCGCCGCGCTGCTCGGCCCACGTCTGTCCGCCCGGTGACCGAGACGGCAGGCCGGAGCCGCCTGGTAACTGCAG